GCGTTGCAGTTTTATTTTAAATAGACCATAAGTGAATGATTTACACATGAAAAAGAAGGTTTTAAAAGCATGATATAATACCTTTAATGTTTAAGCTAGTAATTTATGACATACTTTAATGACCTAGGTTTTCATGACATGCTGTTCATCTGCAGACAGAATGATTAAAGTCAGAACAAGATTTGCTAACAACAGTCATTCTTAGATATCACTTGTGTTCATCTTTGTGTTTTCCATTGACCTTGTATCAAATCTTGCTAAGACGACAGAATGCTGTTTTCTCGAGACAGAGTTAGACAGTGAGCAGTGTGGAGAGACAGTGACAGAGAGAAGCAGAGGCACAGAGACAGGCCATGTTGCTCTCTGTGTTCCTGTTGTTGCAATAAAACTCAGCTCATCATCTCACGGAGTACCTTCATTCTTGCACCATGCATTTCTGTCTTTGTTAAATAAATATTGTCATAACAAAAGAATCTGTACTCAGTACAGAACATTTCATTTCAGGTTTGACTAAAATGTACCTGTCCAACTTTTCCATAGACAGCGCTGAAAATGTGTAATGATCCTTTAATGGTCAGATTAGCTCGACGGTAGCATTCACATTTAGCCAACAGCTGCAGCAATCCTAAATCTTAAGTGTAAAAGTAACTGCATATAACTGAAGTGTGGTTACTTTGCAAGTCAGTGGTTAGTAGACATTTTTATTTCTGTTGACCTTTTAGTCTTGATTGTGTTAGTGTTGGTACTATAGCAAAGCTAGCTAGCAGCATGCTAAGCTGTCTAACACACGTCTTCAAAATGCAAGTCACCAATTAGCTTATTTTAAAAGTAAAACTGAATCACTTGTGTGTTTCTACGGCTAATACCTGTGGCAGAGGAGCAGTATTTGGTCTTCCATTCATAGACAGTAGGCAGACGGAAGGTCCGTGATGCAGCCTTTAGTTAAGCCCTGCCCCCGACGTCAAAACAGTCCTATCTTTGCATTGGCATTGTAACTGAGAACTCTGCATTGGCATTGAAAACTTTTTACATTAAAAAAACTGCAGTGTAAAATAATTTAAAAAAAAAACGTAGGTTTTTCAGTGTCAATGTTTGAAGTTACAGTGTCAGAGTTTTATTTTTGAATGATGATGTTTTTTTACAATGTTTTAATTTTCAATGCCAAATGTTTTTTTTTTTCGATGTCAAAGTAAGCTGTTACCGATTTAGCTCCATATCCGTTGTGCAGCAGAAGATCATCAGCATTGGCATCAACTTCTCTGAGGAATTCCCTCAGCATGCAATGCTGGTAGGACGAGGATGCCCGAAGAAAATTGATAATTTTCATCATTGTATTCATCACCTCAGCATGCTCACCTGACAGGGAGGCACAGAGAACCGACTGATGAACGATGCAGTGGTAAGTTAGGAGATCAGGATTGTCATTCTGCAGTCTTGTTACAGCTCCCTTTTCTTTCCCTATCATAGCAGGAGCTCCATCTGTGGTGATTGDGATCACTTTTTTGGGCTCTATTCCTCTCTTGTCTAACATCCCCTTAATGGCCAGGTAGATGTATTCTCCTGTTGTACTGGTCTGAAGAGGCGTGATGCCCAGCAGGTCYTCACAGAATGATTTCTGGTCTGCATTATAAAACCTAACATAAATTAAAAGCTGAGCACTGTCACACACGTCAGTGGACTCATCCACAGCCAAGCTCACACATGGGGCCTTTTTCATGGCTACATCAAGCTGGGCCAACACATCCTGTGTCAAAATTTCACTTTTTTTGGTGGCAGAGGATGCTGACATGGGGATTTGCTTTATTTTTTCACAAAGTTCTTGTTTTTCTTTTCCTTCAAGAAGTGTTTCAGCGACTGCCGTCATGCATTCTTTGACAACCTCTCCATCAGTAAATGGCTTTTTGTGTTGACCCAAAATCCAGGTCACTCTGAGGGAACACTCATGAGCTCGCTGCTGAGCAGTGAATGTGTGGCTCAGGATCCTGGTGGACTGCTCATATTGGGCTTTGAGACTGCATATTAGAAGTCACTAATAGGCGGACCTCGGTCCGGATCCGGACCAAGTGGGGGTCTCATGCGGACCTGAACGCAATACATGATCAGCCCCTTTCATAAGTCAAAACCGCACAATTGCCGCACAGACCAGTCCGGCTTTAAGCCTCCACAGGTCATTCATAAAACCACAGGTGAAGGCGGGCAGGTCCCGCTCACGTAAACGTGTTCATAATGAACCTGTAGCACTGATCCAAAAGAGGCGTGGAGCAGCTGAGCTGAACCGGACAGTGACAAATCTTTTTATTATTGGACAGACGCCTGCTGCCTCGTATCAAACAAAACAACTGAATTAGCTCACTTTAGTGACTCTGTGGCGGTTAAATATTTTAACAATAAGTATACAAAGTTGCTGTTTCGTGTCATTTTTAATATTCCCTCTAATAATCTTACTGCTGAAATAAAAACCTTGATGTAAAAAAAAAAATAAAGAAAAAAAACAGGCTTAACAATAATTCAAGCCACAATTATCTTAGTCAGGTGCTTTTCCCCTGGTGAGAAAAACAAACATCATCTTTGTATAATTTAAAACATGTGTTGTCATTTCTACATTTGATTTTCAATAGCAAAAGTACACCTTTCAACACTTGCCACTCAAAAAAAAAAGACTGCTTTGGTGTTTTCTCACCACAACACGCTTCTGTGCAGGTGATAATTTGGTCTCATTTTTGTTCATTTTGAAGAAAATGTCACTTCAGATTCAATTGCTGTTGTCATCAAAAATACAATATCCCTCGTCCTATTAAGTTGTTGAAAGGAGTGAGAAATTTAAAATACGACAATAAGAAAATGTCCCCTAATAAATCTGTCATTTGCAAGAACTTTTCAAAAAGGGAGTGTGATTTTTTTTAAAACATTAATTTTGTGTGTGTGTGTGTGTGTGTGTGTGTGAATAAAACATTTCTTTTATTAGATAAATTACAATACTCACCACTACTCAGTACTGGCACTTATCATAAACCTGCTGGTACTCGGCGTCACCAAATTTAAGCTACATTCATGTGAACTAAATTACCCACAGGGCACGTGTTGAAAATAGGAAGTCATGCTCCACTCTATGCTACTTCTGATTGGATCAAATATAGAGGACCAGGTGAGGCTCATAAGGTTCAGTGGTACCACATTAACATGTTATTCTTGTCTTTGGCTAGACTGAAGCTCAAAATCTTTCAGTTTGTTGTACCGCTCTATTGAGACAAGCAAACAATGATAGTCAATCCTGGAAATTTTTATTTTCTTATTTTTCTTCCAAACAAAATGCAACAGAATGTTTGGCACAACACCCCTATTTTTATTTATTTTTTCTATTTGCAGGTTTAGACTGCTTATTTTTTTCTCCGACCACATATACAAATGGATGCAAAACAATGTATTATTTCTTAAATTTGGTGACATGGTGTAATATGTACACCTGGGGGTTGGTTAGGTTACTGGTAGACCCCCATTTCATGCACTGGTTTTGACAATTTTTTTTTAATAAACCCAGTTTTACCTCTGATTCTCCTGAGTGGAGTCCTTTCAGGTTTGCTGCATGGGACACATTTCAGGCATTCTTCAACAAACCACGCCAATCAGGACTTGGTCCAACTCTGATGCATAACTTGGATTGTATTCCTGAACTGCCTGAGAGGAAAGCCAACATTCATTTGACCTTTTTCAATCACAATCATATTTAACAATGGTAAATGTTGTTGTACTGTACCTGTAAATGTACAGTACAACAAGCTGCTGATTGTTTTGGCAAGTTACTCATTTAGTTTATTCAGTGCAGAGTAGCAAGGGTAGAGACGTCCCTGAACAGGTTGTCAGTACACTGCACACTCATATTTACCCTTACACACTACTGAACCACCAATTAAACCAAAAAATGCCTGGTTTGAGATTCTAAAAGACTGACAAAGGGCCTGACTCTTTGACTCAGAACCTTTAAACTTTAAAATTCCCCAAATTACAAAAGCTCAAAATGATGTTTAACATTCATTTCATATAAAAGAAGAGCGGCCAACGAACACACTAAATGGGCTCTCAGTCTCACCAGCTGGCTGCTGCATTTTCCACGGCATCTGTGTTGTCTGTGCACCAGGGGCGTGGCTATGGGTGGGCCTAGATGGGCATAGGCACACCCACTTTGTACCTAGGCCCACCCAAATCAAATGGCTTTCTTAAATAAAATAAAATAAAAAATAATAAAATTCTATGTATTATTTAGTTCTWTTTTTGAGGGTGTCACTCAAAACCATCATAAAATAAAGTAAAYTAACTRAAATGAAATAAAATTCAAATTAACAACATATATTATGCATGGTGGTGATTGGTCACAATGTCTTTGCAAGACCTGCTCACGTTGGCTGTTTCGAATCACATGACCTTTACCCTCCAAATTCAAACCAGAGCTGTAAACAAGCTAGGGCTAGTTGTTTTACAAATGTGAGCCATAAACAGATAGGGAGGATAGGGGAGGGGGGTTTATAGGGGAGGGGGGTTTCCATAGCAACTTCTGCATACAGCACATTCTGGAGAGAGCTGAAGAACAGGAAGAACTGAAAAGGTGAAATTTTATTATTTGAGATTCTTTTTGTGAATTAAATAAAATTAACATGTTTTGAATGGCACAGATGGATCCTAACATGTGAAAGTGGTCTGCCTTATCTTAAAGTGTAAAAGCTAGATACCGCATGGCAGTAACATAATGACCCCCGCTCGCACAAATGCACCAGAACTTCAAAGTCTTTATTCCTGATAAATGTCATGCTACTAGGTGCATCAAAGAACTGTAGTGGTTTGGGTGGATGTATTTTTTTTCGTTGGGGTGGGGTGGGGGGGCATTGGTTGACCTGATGGATAGCCCCTCATCAGAGCTACACAGCCAATGAAAATCTGAAGCTCCTATGTTTAATAGTTTTTGAACTATTACCATTTTGTATAGTCGAACTCACCTCGATGCACCACTCTGGCTCTGGAATCAATCTCCTCGAGAGGGGTTGGACACACTTCCACTCTGGAGTTGCCCATACTGAGAGGTGCCGAGCAGCAGTGGGCATATTTATTGCCCCCATCTTGGTGCCTGTACATTGGGGTTTTATTGCCCCCATCTTTGTGCCTGTACATTGGGGTTCACCCTGGTGAACGAGAGGGTAGCCTCTCTCAGCCTACGTGTGGGGGCACTGGTCCTGACTGTTGTTTGTGCCTATGCCCCTAACAGCAGTTTAGATTACCCACCCTTTTTGGAGTCCTTGGAGCGGGTGCTGGAGAGCGCTTCTAACGAAGACTCCCTCGTTCTGCTGGGGGACTTCAACGCTCATGTGGGCAATGACAGTGAGACCTGGAGGGGCATGGTTGGGAGGAATGCCACCCACCCCCGATCTGAACCCGATCAGTGTTTTGTTATTGGACTTCTGACCTCATCATGGATTTCCATAACGAACACCATGTTCAAACATAAGGGTGTCCATATGTGCTCTTGGCACCAGGACACCCTAGACTGCAGTTCAATGATTGACTTTGTTGTTTCATCTGATCTGCAGCTGCATGTCTTGGACACTCGGGTGAAGAGAGGTGCAAAGCTGTCAACTGACCACTATCTGGTGGTGAGTTGGCACCGATGGTAGACACCGGCAGTGAGGGATGCTGTCAGGCTGAAGAAGGAGTCCTATTGGGTCTTTATGGCCTGTGGGACTCCAGGAACAGCCGGTAGATTTCGGCAGTCCAAGTGGATTGCGGCTCAGGTGATCGCTGAGGCAAAAACTGGGGTGTGGAAGGAGTTTGGAGAGATCATGGAAAAATACTTCTGTGTGGCTTTGAGGTGATTCTGGTCCAGCATCCTGCATCTCAGGGGGGGGAGCAACTCACCACCAACACTGTTTATGGTGGGGATGGTGTGCTGCTGACCTCAACTCTGGATGTTGTGGGTCGGTGGGCAGAATACTTCAAAGACCTCCTCAATCCAACCACGTCTTCCTGTGAGGAAGCAGATCCTGAGGACCCTGGGTCAAACTCTCCAATCTCTGATGCTGAGGTCACACAGGTGGCTAAAAGGCTCCTTGGTGGCAAGGTACCAGGTGTGGATGAGATTCACAAAGAGTTCCTTAAGGCTCTGGATGTTGTGGGGCTGTGTTGGTTAACACGACTCTACAATATTCCGTGGACGTCGGGGGCATTTCCCCTGGATTTGCAGACCGAGGTGGTGATCCCCCTATTTAAAAAAGGGGACCGCAGAGTGTGTTCAAACTTTAGGGGGATTACACTTCTAAGCCTCCCTGGTAAGGTCTTTTCAGGGGTCCTGGAGAGGAGGGTCCGTCAGATAGTTCAATGTCGGATTCAAGAAGAGCAGTGTGGTTTTCGTCCTGGTCATGGAACAGTGTACCAGCTCTCCACCTTAAGCAGGGTCCTGGAGGGTGCATGGGAGTTTGGTCAACCAGTCTACGTGTTATTTGTGAGCTTGGAGAAGGCATTTGACTGTGTCCCTCAGGGACTCCTGTGGGGGGTACTCTGGGAGTATGGGGTACCAGGCCCATTGATATGGGCTGTTAGGTCTCTGTACGACTGGTGCCAGAGCTTGGTCCACATTGCAGGTAGTAAGTCAGACTTGATTCCGGTCAGAGTTGGACTCAGCTAAGGTTGCCGTTTGTCACTGATTCTATTCATAGCTTTTATGGACAGAATTTCTAGATGCAGCCAAGGTGTTGAAGGGGTCCGATTTGGTGACCTTAGGATCACATCTCTGCTTTTTGTGGATGATGTGGTCCTGTAAGAAATATCTCGTATTTGTTAACTGAAATCATGACAAAACCACATAATATTGAATAGATTAAAATGTGATAATAATATGGACCATACAACCCAGATCTGGTGTGAGCGGATCTTTATTGCTTGAGCTGAAGCAATCAGAGCAACACTGGCTACAACCCGGACTTCCGGTCCTTATATACAGAGTCTTCAGTGCCTGGTGCGCCCCCTGCAGGCCTACGGC